ATCCACCTGGGACAGCACTGAGCGGTGCTGGGCCCCCAGGGGTCCAGATTCAGAGTCCAGAGCTTTGTCTCCATTGGGAGAGGGGTTTAGACATGGTCAGGCAGCTGTGGATGGCTCAAGGGGACACCTGGAATGTTCCACAGCCCTGGAATCCACGAGCTTCTTGGGTGTGAGGCTCAGATACCTACTACCCCACGATGTTTCATGTTGTCCGTGAACTCATAACCAGGGTGCATGGCCAAGTCCTGGAGGGAAAATCACCAAACACTGGGTTCTCTGAAGCCTGGCTGTGTCCAAGAGTGGGGCCCAGAAATGGAGCTGTGTTATAAGTGAATATTGTTAAGTCTCTGATAGCCTCTGTCTCATCCTTGGGTTCAACCTGCCTCCACTGGGCTCGTTTCCGCCACACCTGTGTCCTTCTGTTCCTCCAGCATGGTTTCCTGGGAGTGGGCATACTTCAGATCACCTACCCCAAGTCTGAGAATGGTGTCCCCTCCCCAGGGTGTGGCAGGGCAGCCACAATTAGCCACACCTGATAGTTCCCGGGGTAGATGCCAGACCCAAGCCGGGACAGGCCGACTCATTCTCTCAGGAGTCTAGCGGGGCTCTGGAACTACAGCAAAGCTCTGCCTGAGGCCCAACCTGAGCAAGTGCGATAAAGCAGAGAGGGCAGACCAGCAGGGGGGAAACAGAGCAGCAGAAAGGAGGGAGGGTTGAGGGGCCCTGGTGCCTGTCCCACTAGAGACGCAGGACTAGAGCCTCCACCATCCTGAGCTACATGGCATATCTTGTATCCTTTTCACAGAGTCATTTTTTTAAAAATGTTTATTTCTGAGAGAGAGGGCATGCGTGTGCAAGCAAAGGAGGGGCAGAGAGAGGGAAAGAGAGAATCCCAAGCAGGCCCCATGCCATCAGCTCAGAGCCTGACATGGGGCTCAGTCTCATACATCTCAAGATCATGACCTGAGCTGAAACCAAGAGTCAGATGCTCAACCAACTGAGGCTCCCAGGTGCCCCCACAAAGTCACTTTTTGGCTTAAACTGGCCTCCATGGTTCCTATTACTTGCAACTGAAAGCCTTCACTGAAGCATTCTCTTTTCTGAGACCCCACCCCTGCCCCCAACACCTGCCTTCTGGCACCACAGCCTCCCACGCAAGAGCTCAGGACCCAAGACCCCCCTGGCCAGATGCCAGGCTCTCTACCGGCTGTGAAGGGGCCTGCAGAGGGATTGCCATGCCCACCTCCTGAGCAAACTGTGGGCTGCCGATGGGTAAGACCTCCTGGAGAAGGCGTGCGCTCAGGCTCAGAGAGCCAGCCCACCCTGTTTCCTTCTTGAGACCATGAGCTTTTCTCCTGAAAAAGGTCTTCAAGTCCTTGAGATGTGTAGGGCTTGGTGGAACAAGAGCTGGCATTCCTCTGTGCCAGGCCCGTTCTAGCACTTAATTCCTGTCACCTTCAAAGAACGCCATGAGGCTGGTGCCATTATCATCCCCATTTTACATACAGGAGAACCGAAGCATCAGGAGGTGAAGTGACCTGCCCACAGAACACAGCTGACGAGAGCTGGGATTTTGAACGAGTAGAAGGAGAGCTAGAACACTTCAGTCAGGTTCTGAATTCGTACATGCTTCACTTCTCTTGGTGAGGCCAGAAAATTAAGAAGAGAGTTTCCATGATGTGGAAGGGATGGCCCCTTCGTGGGGTTCTTCTTGTCCGAATAGCTACTTGAGGGTCCCGGCGATTCTGGGCACCATCAACAGTGGGAATCCCTGCTGGGCAGTGCCCTTGGACAGGCTGGCACAGGTACAAAGGCCAAGTGAGCTGGCACAGGGGCAGATACGATGGGGCCAGGCTGACCTCTACCTCTGCCAGGATGCTGGGTGGCATGCTCTCCCCCCCACAGGGCAGCCTAGGGACAGCACCCATGGATAGCTAACAAAGGCAAGACAGAGTGGCCTCAAGTCTCCACCTGCCAAACCTGTGAGGACAAACTGGCCCCAGTCACACCTCCGCTGCCCTCTTGGGCCTTAAAGACTAAGCTCAGTTCATCTCATTAACTCATTTAGCACTCCCTGCATGGCAGGCAATGAAGCCAAGCTCCCTCTTTTTCCACTGGAGGCTACCACCCATGTAACTATGGAGAATGTGTCCAACCTTACTGTGCCTCAGTTTTCTCGTCTGTGAAATGGGGACAGTGATACTTATCTTGTGGGTTGGTCATAGGGATGAGCTGAATCAACCTCTGTAAAGTTTCCAGGCAAGAGGTGGCAGCAGAGTTTAATAAACAGGGATTGTGAATAAAGGATATCTACACAGTTGAGAGGCCAAGCACTGGGTATTCCTAAACAAAGTGCCAACTGAGGGATGGGGAAGGGGTCTCTGAGACCCGCGTCCCACGCCGGGGTCCCCCACCCGCATTGTCGATCAGTACATCAGCACTCATCGTCCCCAACGAGGAGGGCTGCTGACCCTATCATGACTTCGACTCCTTTCCCATAACCTGCAGTGCATTAAGGAAAGCTCTTCAAAGGGCTTCAACTGATAAATGAATAATACTAATCATCAATTAATCAATCCCTGGGGCCTGTGCCTCCTTCCCAGCCAGAAGCCCTGCTGCTTTGTTATAGTCACACTACAAAGTTCTGCAGGTGCTCTATCAACAGCCATTCTCACTGCCAGAAAGAAGACTTCACCCAGAACAGCCTGGGAGGCGATCCAGCAAGGCTGTGTCCATTCATCCGTCTTTCTGTCCCAGGACAGGAGG